GAGCAATGAAACGTCCAATCAAAAGGGTGCAGAAGATTGGCACTAGAAAGGCCTTCATGAAGATGTTCAATGTTTTTGGATCGTCTCAGCATGGCTCAGGAGTTGGCGGAAAACCGATCATGAAGGTGGTAGGACCAAGGCCGGGTTTTCCAGCTGTACTCCAAGCACCAAATACTGATAGCACGTCGGGTGAAGGGAGCAGTCCCCAGGTACATGGCAATGTTCATGTAGAGCACAATCGCCCTATGGACCGGTATGAGGCAGAGCGCTTGGAGAAGAGGAAGAAGGGTTTCTGCTATTGGTTCGGCAGGGGGAAAGATCGCTGCAAATTCGGTGACGACTGCAAATTCATCCATTCCGAAGATGATGTGGTGCTACATTCATATTGGTGCAAATACTATGTGGCAGGGAGAGAATGTTTCGCTGGAAAGGATTGTGAGTTCTCGCATGATGCAACTGGTGTGAGGTGCGTCCAGTTTGCTCGGTCTGGGAAGTGTCGATTTGGTGACAGGTGTGTCTTCGAGCATGGTGTTCCGTTGGAAAAACAGAGGCCAAGGTCTCCAAGGACGCCCCCAAGGGATGGTCCAAGGAAAAAGTCTGGTGCAAATGGTGGAGAAAAGGAGATCTCTCCTGAACAGTTCGATGATGATGAGGAGGATTTTATGGTTTATGACGAAGAGACCAAGATGACGGAACTGTTGATGGAGGCGATTTCATTTCTTTCATTTCTCTCCGGTGGCAAGCCAGATTTGGCTCGAGCAGAGGCGGACCCATTGTTCAAACTCCTGAAGTTCACTGGAGATGCTGACCAAATGGATCAAGTATGGGTTTCGTGGACCACTGAAATGTTGTCCGTGCTGGAACTTCTCGAAGTAGTGAAGTCGTATGAGGTTTCGCTCGCGGAGGTGGAAGAATGGGTCAATGACCTGAGGATATGGTATGAGCGAGCCAATTTGGGAGAGGAAAAGGATCCCAAAAGAGGTAAAAAGAGATCCCTAGAAAGGGAGTCCAGCAAGGATATTCCTGCCGAAACAGGAGTGGTTGAGACTTCGGAGACGGAGGTTGCCGTTGAAGAAGAGAAGAAAAAGGTAAAAAAGAAGAGGAAAGCTGCAGCTATTGAAGATCCTTACACTCTCATGGTTCCAAAGCCGAAGAAGATGCCGACGATCATTGAGAAGGGTGGATCAACATCCAATGTGGTGGCTTCTGCAGTGGAAAAATCCTCGAAGACGCGCACAAAGTCAAATGTCGGTGGAAAGACAAAGAAGAGGGAGAAAAGTCAGAGTCCCAAAAAAGAAGAGGTGGTAATGGTTCAAGATCCTGAAGAAAAGGATCGTCCATCTGATGCGGATGCACCAGGGTCTGCCACTGCGAATGAAGAGCTGGGTCAATCTTGCCAGGCGATTGAGGACGCAAAGAGAGAAGGATTGGTATCCTCAATTCAAAGGGGCGTACAGGATCCTGTTCTTACAGTTTCGGACCTGGAGTATATTCTGCTGCAACTTCACCTCAAGATTGCCAACAATCGGAAAAAGAAGTGATTGGATGGTATGGATGAAGGGATAGTTTTTCTCTTTCTGGAGACGGGTGCGCTGGAACAGCCAATGTGCTGACAATGTGGTGGTTACTATTAAGGGTATGGAAATCCCTGATAGTAGAAGTAAGTAGCTTTTCGCGTAGCGAAGACCACGGTTTGTGGTGAAGAAGGCCAAGGAGTCTTCAGTGATGAGAGGATCATGGTGAAAAAAGATTCTCTATGGGTAGTAGGTTAGCCAATGTGCTATAATTCCGTCCTGGAAGACGTTAAACCACAACTTGCATTTCAAGCAGCTGGCTGCTGCCTTAATGGCAGTTTTTGGCCAAAAGACCTGCATCTCCAATGTGTCCTAGGAAATCCTAGGACAGGGGGAGTGCGGAGCTGCAATTGGTATTGTAGAAAGGAGTTAGTGTTGGAAGTTGAAAGGGTTAATGAACCCGTAAACTATGTTTGGCTCAAGGATGGCCAGCCCGTCCAAAGAAAAAAGTCCGTGTTTGGGAGTGAGGGTTGGGTTAGTGCCCCTCTACTTGTGTAAGGGTGCCCCTTCCTTGTTGCTCTTATCCGTGTTCTTGGTTGTTTCTTGGTTCGATCTGGGAAATATAAGTTCAGGGCGATTAGGGGAGTTGATTTCCTTCCTTGGTTGTCCCCCCGTATAGGGTTTAGGGTTTAGGGTTTAGGGTTTAGGGTTTAGGGTTTAGGGTTTAGGGTTTAGGGTTTAGGGTTTAGGGTTTAGGGTTTAGGGTTTAGGGTTTAGGGTTTAGGGTTTAGGGTTTAGGGTTTAGGGTGTAGGGTTCCCAAAGGTCAAACTGGGTCCTAACCCTCCTGAGCCTCATTTTCAGCTCCTTCTATCGTACGAATGCTGTAGAAGTACTGTATAAGCCACGTGTCAGATGCTCGAGCACCGTGCATGTCACTGCGGCAGCCAGAAGGAACGACAGGGTCTCTCCAAGAGTGCGTTCCTGGCAGCATGCATGGGTGGGGGCTGTACGGCGAATCTTCGGGTTTAGCGTTTAGGGTTCAGGGTTTAGGGTTTTGGGCTTCGTTCGCGATGTTCGCTCGCCCCATCGGCCGTGGGTGTGGCACCAGAGGTCTCTTGGACCTTTGGTCAGCCTTGTACGTTCCCCCTCCCCCCTCTCTAAAACCCCCACACTTCACTAGACCTCAGCCCCCCTTTTCCCCCTCATAAACCAAAGGGGCTGCCTGCGTCTCTCCACACCAGGACGCGCAGGATGACGTATTGCAAGACTGTAATTTCTCTCAAACGATCTTTGACTGGTTCCATGGAAAGGATTTCCGGTTCTGCCTTCAGTACTCCGGCTATCCCAGAGGCGGTGGGGGACAAGGAAGCTAGAGAAGGAGGCAACAAGCACCTGCGAGCCCTCTGCAAGAGTTAAGCTCTCATCCGTTCTCCTTCGCACTCCACAAGAACAGGGGCATTTAACTTGCTCACTACGAAGTGAGGACAGCAGAAGGCCAGTCACCTTCAAAGACAGACTCGGACAGATGCGCCTATGACTGCTGGCATAGAAGCCTTTAAATGATGGAAGGCACTTTATTGGAAAAGGTCCTAAGTTGAACCCTAAACCCTAAACCCTAAACCCGAAATCCAAAGCTACACTCCTTCGCCCTGCACAAACGCGAGCTAGGCGCCCCGAGCTCGGGTTCCGAGCCCGTCTCAGACATGGCTGGAAGACGAGTGGCAGAGTTCGAGCCGAACTTGCCGCCGAGCAAGCACCCAATAAGCACGTGCAGGGTTTAGGGTTTAGGGTGTAGGGTTCAGGGTTCAGGGTTCAGGGTTCAGGGTTTAGGGTTTAGGGTTTAGGGTTTAGGGTTTAGGGTTTAGGGTTCAGCCCATAGAGGTACAGAGAATTTCCCCCCCAAGCAAACTTCGGGGTTGCTTTATGTTGCTTTTGGGGGGTTTCGAGGGGCCCTGGGTCCCACCTTCGGTTCAAAGATGCAGACTGTCAGTGGGAATCTTCTGGAAGTCCACACTAACACCCTAAACCCTAAACCCTAAACCCTAAACCCTAAACCCTAAACCAGCTGTGATTTCGGAGCTCTACACAGGTTAAACAGAACTAGGCCCCTCTGGGACCCTCCAGCCTCAACGCCCTTGAGCCACAAAAGATCTGCACCTCGGCACAGGCTTTCAGAGAGAAGGGCTGAGTTGAAAGGAGTTTCGACAGTTTCGAACAACACCCTAAACACAAATCAAAAGCTCCCCATCCTCAAGCCCTGAACCCAAAGCCCAGAGCCGAGAACCCCCCCCCCCCCCCCCCCCCCCACCGATCTTTCGCCGAGATCGCTGCCCGGGTTTCGCAGGCGTGCCTTCTCCAGTAGCGACCGCGCCTCTGGGGTTCTGGATTTCAGCAATCCTTAAAGAGGGGGTTTCCGAAAGTAGGGGTACCTTATTGGGGTCCTTATTACAAGGGAATCCTACCATTTGGGGACTATACTAGGGGCGCCCCTTATTCTCGCAAACCCCCATGTCAGCAATCATTCAGACTATCACTAAGTGGGACAGCCACGCAACTTGACTCGGAAAACGACCAATGCCAGTCATGTCCGGTCCATCATTCTTCTGAGCAATGAGGCACTCCACACCACACGCTCTTGGAGGCATCAGAAGGACGAAGTCGCTAAGTAAACTCCAAACCCCAAAGACAATCAAAACCCACTCCCCAGCCCTAGCTTCAACTGACCGAACTTCAACCGGCTGGGCCTTGGTGTACTTTTGCTGCTTGATCCTGGGGCATTTTGCCAGATGCTACATTGGGTTCCCTCAGCTAGAAGCCGGGCTGGGGTCGGATATGCTGAGCAGTCGTGTGCTTGGGTTTCTATTCGGTTCTCTAGGCTCCTCAGCGCGACTTGCAACTTGCATGTGTCCGGTGACAACAGGTCTATTGACCCATATTGTAAAAACACCTCGACAGTTGATGCCAGGGGCGCTGCTCACATTCCACTGCGCACAGCCACAAAGGAACGCTGCCTGGGAAATGCTTTGGGGGTCCAGGGCGTCACATGTAGCACGGTGCCGTCACGTGCCGTCATTGCTGTTGCAGTACACCACATAACTGGAACACAAAGTGCCGTCAATCCAAGGCCAAACTCCTGCCCAAGATCTGCACGTGGGCACTTCTGCAAACCTCGCTCGAAGAACTTTGTGGCCTGGACGCGGCTTTGTCCTATGCACTTGCGTTCTTTTGATTCTGCTGTGGTTTGGGGTTTGGGCTTTGTTTCGGGTGTGTTTGGGCTTAGGGATGGAGTTTTTCTTTGAATTTTGGGCTCAGAGCTAAATTTCCGTGATGGCGGTTTGTAGCACATTAACCCTGAAGTTAGGACCTGCGATAAGTTGCAAACGCTGCAAAGTGAGCTCTGCTAGCTTTGAAAAATAGATCGAAACAGTCCGTGGCCAGCGAGAAGATGATGTGAGCAGAAGCCCCTCAATTAGGAAAAAAAGGCTCTAGATACCAGCACAGGCCTCGAGCAGCTCAGGTGGTGACCTGGTGCGGTTTCAGGGGTTTTAGAGTTTAGGGGTTTTAAGCCTCCCAGCTATGTTGGGCTGATTAGGCTGATGCCCTTCAAGCATTTCGCAAGGTTCGCTTCGTTTGCTTCAGTGTGGTCCCTGCCTTAAAACCTGCGACTTCAGGGCGGCAACAGAACTAAAAGAACGCAACAATATCTTCAGCAGTCTCCGTGCCCTGTCCTTAAGCCTGCAAGGACTCACCCTAAACCCTAAACCCTGAACCCTAAACCCTGAACCCTAAAGCCTAAACCCTAAAGCCTAAACCCTAAACCCGAATGTCGGCGCCGGCACCAAAGCTTCTGCCCTGACGTCTTCTGAGGCGGGCGCTTCTCCATGTGAATCTGACCGCCGATCATCCACAGCTTCGCGAAGGAGGGATGCTCCTCTAAGGGTTTAGGGTTTCGGGCCGGTTAGGGTTTAGGGTTTAGGGTTTAGGGTTTAGGGTTTAGGGTTTAGGGTTTAGGGTTTAGGGTTTAGGGTGTAGGGTAAGCCCCGAAAGAAGTCCAAGCATCCGAAACCTCGAGCGCGGGAATTCCACTAAGGAAAACACTGGCCGATGCACGTTAGGCTATGCGACGAGCCCCCTAGAACGCCAAACGGGGCCATCCTCCTGAGCGCCAAAATCTGCACACCAAAGGCAAGAGCATGCTCTTCTGGACACAAACAGCGCCACTTCTGAATCCCATGCCCATCCACGGCTCGAGAGGTGCAATCTTGGTTTTTGGCGATCTTCACAGCTATCTGCCTCTTGCTTCCACCTTTAAGCTCGGACAGCTATGCGAACTCGCTGTCCTTCAGGCCCTCCTCCGACAAGTGCAACGCCTGTGGTTGTTGTGAGGTGAGAGCGTGTGCGTGTGTCTCTGTCTTTGTCTGTCTCTCTGTTTGTCTCTGTCTGCACGGCTCACGGTCTGGGGTTTCCAGGCTCACGACCCAAGTAAAGTTCCTTTACGAACCCGGTGATGTGTATCTTGCATAGCCATAGCACAAGCCATCCCGCAGAAGCTGTGCGTCAAGGTGCGGTCGGCCTGCTGGTAAAGGCCCTGCTCCCTCTCCAGCTGCACCGACTGCATCCAGACCTGTTGGTGCTGCTTTGACGTCTGCTGGGGGCTACTAGCGGTCACTAGCGCTTACTGGCGCCTGACCCTCCTTGAGGCCCGCAGCTGAATGCTTGAATCAACGGACACGAAAGCCAAGATTGCAGACGTGCCTTCGGCGTATTGCATTGCTGTCGTGCCTGTGGCAGGGCATGGCAGAGCTCTTAACCTCCAGCCTCAACAACGTTCTAAGCCATTCCAATATATGCCATGATGGATTTGCTTCGGGTGGGGAGGTATGTTGAGATCTGATTTTTGGTCGTCTTTAAACCTCATCTTTCATGAAGACCTCAGACTCCGTCGCTCAGAATGCGCATCCGCTTGAACCCGGCTTACCCAAAACCATCCTAAACCCTAAACCCTAAACCCCAAACCCCAAACCCTAAACCCTAAACCCCAAACCCTAAACCCTAAACCCCCAAACCCTAAACCCTAAACCCATGCTTTGCGCTTGGGCGTGTGCTCGAGCAAGCAGCAGACGAGATCGCTGAATCTCATTGTTCTCACTCTCCAGCTTCACCTTGATGGGTTTAGGGTTTAGGGTTTGGGGTTTGGGGTTTAGGGTTTAGGGTTTAGGGTCAGGGTTTTCAGGTTTGTAGGGTTTGAAAGGGTGGGCAACATTGAATTCAAGTTGCGCCTACACCAGTTGTGGTCCTGCTACATTTTTCAGCCCTCATCAGAGGAGGCTGTTCGAATGCTGGCTAGACTGAAAAGCTCCCATCATCATGAGACAGCTAGCTCCTTCGGGGTCTGAACATGATTGTGAGAGCACGACCACGGTGCAGTTACGAAGCCTCAAGCTCACAAATACTTTTTCCAATATCCACAGTCCATAGCGGCCAAACAGTGCTGCTACACACAGTGCGATGACATTGGAGCAAATGAAGCTTCATCCCGGCTCACCCCCCCCCCCCCCACCCCCACCGCCCCCTCCCCAAACCCTAAACCCTAAACCCTAAACCCTAAACCCTAAGCCCCCCCAAACCCCCCCCCAGCTGGGGCTGCGTGCAGCTGCCAAGTGGATGGCCTCAGGCTTGGGGGAGGGGCTAGGGTTTAGGGTTTAGGGTTTAGGGTTTAGGGTTTAGGGTTTAGGGTTTAGGGTTTAGGGTTTCTGGTCATGGGGGCAGGGCGCGATCATGGCATGTTCATCTACTTAGTGGCTGAGTTCATAAGGCCCCCCAAAAAGTGTACACTTTCGGTTCTACAGGGGATTCTAGTATCCCAAAAGGTGTAAAGTGTACTGGTTCAGCTACGAAGTCTAAGAATGTGAGTCATATGGAGGGTCTGGGGGGCTAGTGGCAAGCTTGCACGTCTTGCTTGAGAGGCCGCGTAGCTTCAATCCTTCGACTCCTCATGACCATAGAGACCATGTGATTTGTCCAACTTCGATACTTGACAGGTTCAGCATACCCATGTCATACCCTCGTACCTTGACCACGGAAGCCTGAAACACAAGCCGTAAACTGCATCGTCTTTGGCTTTGCGTTCTTTCCTTCAAACGTTCCCCGGGATTATAGTACCCCCTAGTAACGGCCCTAGTATAATCCCTATCAAGGAGCTGTTAAGTAGGGAGGAAAATAGGGGGTACTACAATCCCTATTAAGGACTCCTAAACCCTAAACCCTAAACCCTAAACCCTAAACCCTAAACCCTAAACCCTAAACCCTAAACCCTAAACCCTACTAAGGAGCTGTTAGTATAAGGGGGAACATCCCAATTCATTCCGCACGTCGCCTCGGACTCTTTGGAGTGACTGAATGCTTCGGCCAGGATCCTGCAAGGGTTTAGGGTTTAGGGTTTAGGGTTTAGGGTTAGGGGTTTAGGGTTTAGGGTTTAGGGTTTAGGGTTTAGGGTTTAGGGTTTTGGGTTTTGGGGTTTAGGGCAAGAATTCGCTGCATGAGCAGCGCCAGACAAGTGAAAACGCTGGAGCATGCATCTCGTGTCATAATTTGTCGGTCTGGTCCAAAAGTTTTCGTTGTGTTTTGAACTGATGATGCTCTCTTTACTCTTCAGCTGGTCTAGATGCATTTCGTTGACAATGAGGTTTGCAGCTGCCCCGCTTTCTGATTTCATAAGCCGGAATAGTATGTTGGTTGCTAACACGGCACGCAGTGCGAACCGGCAAGTGGGGCATTGAGGAGGATCAGTGCTGTTTAGCCAGTGCCGACGTGTGTGTGTGTGGCCACCTGGAGATATAGGATACCTCTTGTCGCTGCAGCTCCGAAGATTTGTTTCAGGTGCAGGGCGGCACGGCGTCAGATTCCGGACCGTGCCTAGCAAAGCTACGGAATCTGATGGGCAGCAAGGGCAGTACGGCGTGGTTTAGTTTGGTTTTGCTATTTCGGTGCTGTGCTGTTCTCAGTGTCGGAGGAAGCGGAAGTAAGAAGGAAAGCTTCAGCTGCAAGCCCTCAAAATGCAGCGGATGAGTGTTTTCCTCGCTCTTGAAATCATCCAGTCAAGCCTTCTTATACTCTATGCCTTCAAAACCCAAGACCTTCCATGGCCTAGCGTACAAACTCTAAAAGCAGAAGCCTTCAATCACTCCGGCCCTACAAAGCTCACAACCTCACAAAGTCATAAACCTGCGCCCAGTGAGTAAATTAGCTTAATTAAAAATATATGTGTATATATATATGAGCCTGAGACCTTTAGGGTTCTTTTGGCTTAGTTTTTATAAGCCCTCTTAAATAAACAAAGCCAAACGCGATAAATATAGGAATATATATGCTCTTAAATGAACGCGTCCACTACATGTCTCGATCTGTTCAAGTATAGCTCAGCTTTCTACTCCCTAAACCTGAAACGTTAAACCTTGAAACCTGAACTTCAACCCTTTAAACCTAATCTTATTTTTTGACCCTTAACCTTGAAACCTTTAAAAGTAAACCTTAAACTCGCGAAGTCCTAACTTTTAACTTTCACCCCTAGGCTCGTGACTGTAATCCGACGCATCTTCTCGCTTCCTTGCTCATGGCTGTGCTTGAAACACAGGCGTGCTGCGAGTACCTGCGAGTCCATCATCTCTGCCTATGCGTGTCGCTTTTATCAAGATAAGTCATGATGGCTCGCGATTCGGATAGTCTGTACATTGCAGAAACAAATGCACGGTTTAGGTTTAAACCTTCAAGGTTTATGGTTTAGGGTTTAAGGTTTATGGTTTAGGGGATAGGGTTTAGATTTTAGAGTTTCGGGTTTAGGGTATAGGTTTAGGGTTTATACTTAAAGGTTCGGGATTATGGGTTTTCGATTTAGTCCCTTTTATGATGCAGCTCAAAAAAGGTCTCTGCTCATCTGCACGTGGTCAGTTGAGGCTCCAGAGAGACATTATTCACTAAACCACAAGCCATAGACCCTAAACCTTAACCTCTAAATCCTAAACCTTGAACTCTAAGCCCTAAACCGTAAACCCACAAGGGCCTTACTTTACTTCAAAAACTCCCCGCGCAGAAGAAGACACAGATGAAGAAAGTCATAAGCTGAGCTCGAGCTCGGAGCTGCTCATACATCTACACCTGTCTAACATTCCTCATCAGTTTCTACTCCCTAGATTTTAAGCCTAACACCCTGAACTTTAAACCCTTAACTTTGAATCCTAAGTCGAAAACATTAAATCCTCCACCTTGAAACACTCGGAGCCTTAACCCTAATCCCTTGAACCCTTATATCTCAACCCTAACCCTTAAGGTCGTGATCCTGATCTAAGACGCCTCCCAGCTTCCTTGCTGCGGGCTGTGCTTGCAAAACTAACATGCTGCGAGTAGCTGAGAGTCCAGCATCTCTGCATGTTCTTGTCGCCTTTTCTTGTTCTAGACGATACTGGCTCGTGCTCTAGAGATCTGATTGTCATCTGATTGTCCGCATTGAAACACAAAGCCACTACTTCCTGCAGGATTTACTAAGCCCAAAACCCCAAACTCACAAGGGCCTCACTTTAGTAGACACACTCCTAGCGCAGACAAAAACAGATCAGGAGAGCCGTTAAACTCAGCTTGTGCTCGGAAATGCTCATACGTCTCCACCTCTTTAACATTCCTCAGCGTTTCTTTGTGCTGAACCTGAAACCTTAAACTCTGAGCCCTGAACCCTAACTTTTTAAACCTAATCTTTAAAATCTGCTCCTAAACCTTGAAACCTGTAACAGTTAACCTTAAACCCACAAAGTCCGAACTTTTAACGTTCAGCTCTAGGGTCGTGACTGTAGTCCGATGCATCTTCTCACTTCCTTGCTCATAGCTTTGCTTGAAACACTGACTTGCTGCGAGTAGCTGCGAGTCCACCATTTCTGCTTATGTGTGTCGCTTTTACTAAGATAAGTTGTGATGGCTCGCGCTTCAGATAAGCTGTACATGGCAAAAACAAACCGCACGGTTTAGGCTTTAACCTACAAGGTTTATGGCTTAGGGTTTAGGGTTTAAGGTTTAGGGTTTTAAGTTTATGGTTTAGGGTATAGGGTTTAGGTTTTAGGGTTTCGGGTTTAGGTTTAGGGTGAAGGTTTAGGGTTTATAGTTAAAGGTTCGGGTTGTTGGGTTTTAGGTTTAGCCCCTTCTATGATGCAGCTTAAAAAGGGTCTCTGCTCATCTGCACCCGGCCAGTTGAGGTTCCAGAGAGACCTTATCCACTAAACCATAAGCCATAGACCCTAAACCCTAAACTTTAAACTGTAAACCTTGAACTCTAAGCCCTGAACCTTAAACCCACAAGGGCCTTACTTTACTAAACAAACTCCCCGCGTAGATGAAGATACAGATGGAGAGAGTCCTGAGACTGAGCTCGAGCTCGGAGCTGATCATACATCTCCACCTGTCTAACATTCCTCGTCAGTTTCTACTCCCTAGATTTTAAGCCTTACACCCTCAACTTTAAACCCTTAATTCCGAATCCTAAATCGAAAACATTAAACCCTCCGCCTTGAAACACTCTGAGCCTTAACCCTGACCCCTTGAACTCTCATATTTAAACCCTAACCTTGAAGGTCGTGATCCTCATCTAAGACGCCTTCCAGCTTTCTTGCTCAGAGCTGTGCTTGGAAAACTAACATGCTGCGAGCAGCTCTGAGTCCAGCATCTCTGGATGTGCTTGTCTCCTTTTCTTCCTGTAGATGGTAGTGGCTCGCGCTCTAGAGATCTGACTGTCCGCACTGAAACACAGAACCGCAACATCCTGCAGAATTAGCTCTGGCATCCAGGAACCTATGCTTGAATGCCTCGACGTCTGAGATCCAGCAAGGGCCATTCATCTCCAGACAGTCTGAGAAGCACCGTAAAACTCTAAACCCTAAAGAAAAAACAACATCCAGAAAAAAACGATACTTGGGAGCTTTGAGTCACTCGATTCTTGCGTGACTTTAATTATATGATTGAGACTCTAAGGTTTATCATTTCAATGTTTTGGGTTTAAAGATTTCGACTTAGGGTTTAGGGTTTAGGTTTTAGTATTGAAGATTAAGATGTAGAGTTCATGCTCTAGGGTTTAGAATTACCAGGCAATCCGAGAAGCAACGTTAAACTCTAAATCCTGTGAAAAAAACTAACAAAAACGAGACTTGAGAAGCTTCGGGATACTCGTTAACATAGCTGCTTAGCTTCCCGAACAACCTTTCCTGTGGCCCTACCGCATCTCGGCAGCATAAATCATCTACTCGATCTCTCATGTGAAAGCTGAACACGCTCAGTCAAGATCTTCCCCATCGTCATCCTGTCAGATGATTTCGCGTCTTATTATTTCAGGATCGTAAATTCCACTGATTCAGATTTGAAGTCGAACCTTTATACACTTGCAACGAAGACCATTAACCTTGCTGCAGGATTCGAAGTGTAAGGTCTGGGAGTATGTCGGAGATCATCATCCTTTTATGTTTCAACTTCTTGCTGCGCGCAGGATTAACAACGAATGCCAAGTTTCTCTTCTCGGGGCGAACCACAGCATCTGCGTAAACGCAAGGACTCATGATGAGTCTGTGTGGTCTAGTATTTTATGCCGCCTCGACGTCGACGCCTGGGAATATTGTTTCGGACGTAGTACGAATTACGTCCTTTCCGCATCAATGCAAATCTCGATGACATGTAATTTAATATTATTCGCACGTAAGTCTGCTCATCAGACGAGTCCTTTGCGCGCAAAGCCCTTGTACCAGGAGAA